TCGCTCGTATAATATACATAATAAACTTTGTACGATGACGTATAAGCAATGAAAACAAAGAGAACGAGAGAAAGAGAGCAACATATAACAGGCAAACGACGACATATGTATGTCCTTTACGATGTTCACTATACCGATTGAATGCGTGCCAAAATAAACGACGTTGATCGATTAATGTCATTCACCTTTTACCACTCGTAAATCAAACTACGCCAATGGCAACAACATTGTATTCTCAATCTTTCATTTCCTTTTTCTTTTTTCTTTTTTTTTTTTCCTTTATCCTGCGGGAAAAATCAAATGACCGATAATGAAAGTAATTTATTAATGAAATTATCCGTAAAACGAGAAAAAAATACTCTCTCTCTCTCTCTCTCTCTCTCTCTTTGATTGGAAATAACACGTAACGTCAATTACAAAATATTAAATCGAAGGAATAAATACTGTAGAAGGCAAATAAAGCGAATAATTAACAGATAATCGACGCATTCCTCTCTCTCTCTCTCTCTCTCTCTCTCTTTCTATATATATATATATATATATCTTATTGGTTGTCTATCAGCAGGTGTTTCTTTCTATCTTTTTCCCTCTCATTAAGCACCCTTCAAGCACAAGTGTCTATCTGAACGCGATAGAAGTTGCATTCGTTTTTGCATTTGGATGTATACAAGAAAATCGCAAGCTTTTCCACGACTCACCTACATAAACGAGTAAGAGAGTGAGAGAGAGAGAGAGAGAGAGAGAGAGAGAGAGAGAGAGAGAGAAAGAGACAGATACAGAGAAAGAGATATGCACACATTGAAAGAGAGAAAAAGATAGAGGGAACGAATACATACGTATTATATGAAAAAGAAGACATTTTCTATCGCGTGGATGAGTTAGTCGCGAGTTACGCGTACACACTCTTTGAAATGGCAAAACAATCGGCGTTTATTCTCTGTGCTTTTCAGCATCCAACTGACACAGCTCGTTCCCACAGAATTCCGCGGTATTTCCGCCTTGCCTTCCAACCAAACGGATGCAATCGTGCGAAAGAGTAAAACGTATTCGACTAATTCTACCTCCATATAATACATATGGTTACATACATACAGATATATATATATATATGTGTGTATATACGTAGGTACGTACGTATCTATAATATAATATCATCGTACGTAATAATAGCCCGAAGAGATATCGGAGGTTCATTCTCACGGATATATTTTTCCAATCAAAACCATACCCCATTTCATTTATACAATCGACCCATAAAACGTTTTCAAATGGATTTAACGATAATGACCGAGATAAAAAGGAATAAGATCTATGGGGATCTCTACGTATGTATTAATAATTAAAAATTATATTATAATTGTATTATTGTTATCGTTGTTATTGTTGTTGTTGTTATTATTATTTTTATGAATGGGAAATACCTTGTGTATTTACTATACCATTAGAACGTTTATATGTATATAATATGTACCATTTTAATATTCATTATTTAAATGATCCAGAGGGTGTCTTGTTTTTTTTAATCATCCTTCAAAAATGATAACTATCAAAAAGAAAATTGTATTATTATTATTATTATTATTATTATTATTATTATTATTATTATTATTATTATTATTATTATTATAAATAAGACACCCCGTATTGTACCATTAGATTTAACATTAATAATTAAAAGTTCATTTGGATGAAATTATAATCAAAAGTAAAAATCTTTTTCGATCAATTTATAAATGCATCGAGCGGAATATGAAATCCGACAGAAAGCTTTTTTCCTACATTTTTTTCGTATCCTAAATGCATACGTGTTGTTTAGAGCCATCAAAAAGTTCCCACCAACGAAACACGATTTTCCATTCGCGATCAATTCGACATATGTCTATACCTTTCCTTCTGTTTCTATATTTCTTTATATTCCTTTGTTTTCTTTTTTCTCTCTTTTTATTTTTTCATTTCCTTCGAGACCTTCGCAAAACAAAGAAACAATTCTGTAAGCAAATATACATACCATCATGTTTATTCTCTCGTTTTCTTAAGTAACTTCAATCTCTATATGATTTCTAAACTCATTGTTATTTTTAAATCACGGCGATTAGATTTTTTAAATTTACGAAAGGAAAGAAAAAAATGAAAAAAAAAGAAAAGAATTTTCACTTTTAATGCTTACGTAATTTATATTGCAAGTAAAATATTCCTGTTTATATATATATTCCTTATATATATATATATATGTATATATCTTACGTGTACCAATTTGTTACGTAAATATGTATGTCTACATAATTTAAACGTAAAATATTTTATACAAATAAACACACAACACACACACACACACACACACATACACAAATACAAAATACACATAATAAAGTAATATTAAAAATAAATATCTCTTCGTACAATTCAGTTAAAAAATAAAAATTGAATCAGTTAAAAATTAGTTTAAAAAAAGAAAAAAAAAAAAAGAAAGAAATCCTCCTGCGACTTTAAATAATAAATAATAAATAAAGAAAACAAAAACATGAGAGAGAAAAGTACAAGAAAAAACGAACAAAGATAAAAAGATAAAAAGAATAATAAAAGAAAAAGAAAATCGATTGTGGCTAACTAAACGAACAAGTTTCAAGAAATAATTGGCTTTTGCAATTATTCATCGCATACAAAATTATCTACGCTTGGTGGATCATGCTTCTTAATCGATTCCACTGGCAAAAATAGATAAAAGGATCAACCTGTTTAAAGTGAGAAAATATTGGACGATTCTATTTAAAATACTGATGATCTAGCTAAAAGATTTAAACTGGCATCGAACAGCAACCAACATTTTATTAATTCGCAAGATGGACAACGTTTTATTAACTCTTTCGAGTTAAATTTTCACATTAAATTCACGAACGAATATCATATTTTCTTTGCAAGTAGTATAATAGTAATAGTTAAATACATTATAAAAGTCGTCTATTACGATATCATTGATTTATAAATTAATGATAATTATTTTGAAAAATTACAAATAATAATTCTGAATGACTTATTGCTGTCATCACTCTTTCTTCTCCATAAAAAAAAAAAGAAAAAAAAAAGTAAATAAAAAGAAGAAAAGAGAAAAAAAATGTGATTTAATATTAAGAAAGAAAGAAAAAAGAATTAATTTAACGACAAAAATAAAAACAAAGAGTACAGGATAAAATCGTCCTTCTCTGGCATATAAAATATCTATTCTGGGGAAAAAGAAGAAGAAAAAAAAGAAGAAAAAAAGAAGAAGAAAACGAAGAAAAAAAAGGAAAAAGAAAGAGAAAATATCCAAGGATATTCTCAAGGACGTAGCCGATAAAACTATTCCCCGCGATACAAAATGGCCAATGGTTGGTTATGTAGTAGTAGTAATAATAGTACATAGTAGTAAGCGTAGAAAATATATATTTCTAGACATTTATGAGGGGTTAAAGGAAGTTAGTTGGTTCAAGAATGTCCTTCTTCGATCGTTGAGTCACAGATGGTGATTCATCGAATCAGTGGAAACGTAAACACACGTGATATTATAAGAACGTAAGAACATATGTAGGTATGAGTGAACGTAGAAAACGTTATATTCACTTTCTCTGTCTTTCTCGGTATATATAATGTATATATATATATATATATATATACATACATTTACATATATATATATATATATGTATGTACATCATAGATAAAGGAAAGAAAAAAGAAAAGGCACATAAGTATAACATAGAGCTTGGCAAGAGACAAAAGATTATACGTGTATTTAGTGTAACATAGCTCGTACACACACATACATACATACATACATACATATATATATATATATTACCCGTAGTTTCTTTCATGGAAGGAACGATTGTTGGGTACAATGAACGAAGCGCTTAAAACAGCTGATCGTATAGCGATAGCATAGCTCGGACTATTACAAATATCCTCTATCTTCGAGAAACCATCATCTCTAGAATTTCCATTTTATTTCTCAAAATAAAAGATATTGATATTTCTAATTGAAGAAAAAATTTTTAATATCACGTTTATTACGTGATGAAACGATTGATACATTAATCACGATCGATCAATGTTTTCAGATAATTTTATTCACAAACTTTTAGATCCAATAGAAAAATTTATGATCGCTTTTGACGAACAAATGTTTGTGTGGCTTTCTGAAAAAAAAAAAGAAAAAAAAGGATAATAGCTGTTTTTATTGGTCAACAAATTTTCTTTTCTATTTTTTTTTTTTTTTGTTATTTTTTCGTCGGAGAAAAACCGACTTAGACATTCTTTATTATGAACTTTCAATTATTATATTATAATCCTTAAACCATTCATCATTGATATATCTCCCTCGATCCTATTGGGACAATTTATAGAAATGATCCATAGAAACGATCTATAGAAATTTACGGTACGATAACTCTAAGAACGTATCGTATATCACATAAAGAATTTTCCAAGTTACTTGGAAAATGTTGTATTGGTTCACAATTCAACCTTATTCCAAAGATAATCTTCCAGAGTGCGTTATATACTAGGACAAAGTTTCTATGGCCAAACCACCGACAGCTGGCATTTGACAGTGACATAAAAGGAATAAAGAGAAAAATCAATAAAAGTGTATTTAGAAAGGGCAAAGAAAAAAAAAAGAAAAAAAAAAAAAAAAAAGAAAAAGAAAAAAACGCACAACCGAAAAGAATTCTCAAAGTTATATCAAGTTAATTAGATTTGACAATCGGATAGAACGATCAACGTCAAGAGCATTATATAAAATGGATTTAATATCATCTTACGTTAATTATATTAATACGTAATTCCAATTACGATCGATATCTCATATACATATACATATATATATATATATAATATATATATATTTTATATATATATATACATATATTAATGTCGATTTTAAATCGTTCAACGTTAATCGATTAAAATATATAAAATTGCATGCAAAAATTATGATAAAACAAGAAGGAAGTATAGAATCAAACCTGTTTCTTTAACGGCGTAGCATATTCATCTCTGCTTCTCTCGAACCTTTCGAACTTGAAACTATTACTTCTGTATAGTTCGTTATCACTCTGTTGTCTTCTACAGAGTCTCCTGGTGAATGCCCGTGGCCGGCATGGCGCACATTCGGAGGCGAGCTCCCAGTGCAAGTGCAACATCGCGAGCTCGGCCGTGCACCTGGCCATCGCGCAACCAGCACGTCTAACACGATATTTAACTCGTTTTATACGTCCTTCGGTTTGTGGTTTATGAGAGCACGGTCGAGTTCCAGCGACGCTATCCTCATCGTCCTCGTCAACGTTCTCTGCGGTTTTTCCGCATTCGCAGGTTGCGCGACTAGCCGTTGCTGTACGGCGTGTCGTGATCATCATCATCCTTGGCTCGTGGGAGCAAGGCCTTGATTGCTCGTCGCAGTCGCACTCGCACGGCGCCTCGCCGCCGTCTGTACGATTCTGCTCGACAACTGAGCCCGATGATCTCTCTTGTTGTTGTGACATTCCTACAGTTATCGATTGCTGTTGCTGCTGCTGCTGCTGCTGTTGTTGTTGTTGTTGACTTGTTTGACTCGAGGACCCAGCTAAAGGAGATGAAGTTCCTACACGACGTTGTTGCTGTTGTTGAGAGACAGTACCATTGCCTGTGTGTCGACAAGGTCTCTCCGTACATTCGCATCTGAAAATAAGTCAAATGTTATTATATATATATATATATATATTACTTAATAAAAACTGTAATAAAATTTTATAAGAGGTTTTTTTTTGTGAAGAAGAGTTCGAAACAAGAGTCTACGTTAACGACTCTTATCAATCTCAATTTGGACCATTAACAAAAGCACTTCAATCATCATAAAAAATTTGCCAAAATATATCACGTATCATTTTACGTATCATTAGCACAGAATGTCGATATGCGCGCACATAGATACAAGTGATAAAGGGAGAGAACACCCGCGCGCATGCACATGTTCCTACACATATACGCGCGCGCGCGCACACACACACACATACATATATACATATGCACACAGCAGCAGCAGATATGTGCACGCTCGACAGGTCCTTTAAGCCGCTTCACGCTCGGAACGAGCGAGACAAAATTTCGGATTTCAACCCTCAACATGCCGGATATATATATCTTCATGGTCTGATGCACGCGCACTTGCGTGTTCCTCCCTTGTGAACGTAAAACTCCACGAGTTTTATAAAGGCCTCATTATGACAATGAGTACTCTTATTTTCTTTAAGACGACTTTTGTTTGAATATTCGAGGACAATGGATTCTTTCATTAGAAAAAAGAAAAAAGAAAAGAAAAGAAAAAAAAAATCACAGTCAAATGTATGGAGAAAACTATGGAGAACAGCACGATTATAAAATGTTCTCGTATCGACGCGAAAAAATTCACGAGAATGTAGCAGCTGATCGGAAGCAGTCCTTAAACGTATCATTGTATATCCTTACGCGCGAAATCACAAATATACCGAAGGACAATATCAATCAATATTTATCCGAAATTTCTACGAATGAACAAAAAAAAAAAAAAAGGAGAAATAATTAAATGTACGTATAATTATCAAATGACATATACGTAAACTATTAAAATTACAATTAACGTTGAAACTTTTAATATTATAATAATACAAACGTGTAGTTAATTGTTATGCTCTATAAAAAAAAAAAGAAAAAAAATGAAATATGAGAAAAAGGAAAATAATGCCCTGCTTAAGACATATATATAGAAAACAATATATATATATATATATATATCAGTTCTCACCTTCTGACCCTCCGCGAAGATCCAGCAGCGCGGGATGCGTGTGGACAGGATTGCAACTCGTTTGGACAGTCGCAGTTGCCTATTACCGATTGCTGTTGTTGCTGCTGCTGTTGTCTCGTACGACGAACCCTTATTAATACCGGATGTACCGGACACGGTTGCACTTGACAAGCACATACTATCGTTTGCGGACCTCGTGATCTTCGTGATCCACTGGCACCACGCTTCGCGCGTTGGTCCACGTGCAACTGACATGGTTGCACGGGGCAGCCGCAGCGTCCTACGCCACTGCGACGCCCGACACCTTGTACACGTCTCCAGACCCGCTCCATTCAACGACCGGCGTGCGACTGACAATCTTACGCCCCATACCATTCGCTCGGAACCATTTCGGTTAACTTCGGTAAGTTTCGGTTAACGTTCGACTCCTCGTCGAACTCGACGTTTTAAAGTAGGGATGAGAACTCTATGAGCTGTCAAACCCGTTACATCTGTACGACGACAATCAAGATATTCTCTTTTATTTTTTCGTTAGATATTAAAATCAAAGGATCTAATAATAAGATCGTATTATTTATAAACATATCGGAAATAAATCGGGAAAACTTTCGTTTAATATCTTCATAGAATTCTTGACTTTCTTTTTTCTTTTTTTTTTTTTCTTTTGATATACGTAAGTATAAAATGATGAGAGTGAACATGTGTATTTTTTATTTCTTATTTCGATCGAAATCAATTTTTTATAAACGAATGTCATGTATATTTCTGCCTCACATGATGTCTCTTTCAAAGTGTTATTTTTTAATGGCTGGCTTTTATTAATGGATATTTTTTTTTCTTTCAGTTTATTTACTTTTTTTCTTTTTTTTTCACAAGTACATATGTATGTATGTATGTATATTTGGCGTTATACATATTTTATAACTAAAGTGAGTTATTCTGAAATATAGAAAGAATATCAAAGGAGATATGTTTTTTAATTTCTGACAAATCACGATTGGTCTTATTTTTATATATATATATATATATATATATATATAATTTTGATATATACAAATTTGATAAATATAAATCGTAATGTTATAAAAAAAAAAAAAAAAAAAAAAAAAAAACTGTTCTTATGTACCTTTTATAATTTATTTCATTAAACTAATCTAATTTTTTCATCAATTCACTCGCGTTGTACTTAATACGGATGAGGCAAATATTTGTTGCAATATTCGTGGAATCTTTTGTAAATCCATACAAACGTAGGCACGTCCTGACGGCATTTTTTCGATCAATCTAAAAAAAAGAAAAAAAAAGGAAGAAAAAATAAACAAACAAACAAACAAACAATGAAACCAATGAAAATGAATAATAAATAAGGATAAATAATGTTCTATACAAAACCTTGTCGCTTGATCGCCCAACGAACCGATAAAAATAGCATAAGCGTTTACGTCTGGATTCGACGTGAGTACTTTAGCAAATCTTTCTGGTCTAATCCCATAACGTTCTAAATTTGCATCCGAAAGTACAACAACGATCGATTCGTCACTATCTTCTTTTGCTAAGCCAGAAATAGCATCTTGCGTTGCTTCTAATGTATTATCACCGGACATACAAAATTGCGAATGAGCGTGCATCATCTGTAAAACGATTATGTTAAAAAAAAAAAAAAAAAAAAAAAAAAAACAATTCCAATAACACATTATACTTAATATATTATTAAAATTTTTCTCATCTTACTTTGATTATTTCTAATCTTTTTTTATTATCAATCGGTGGTTTAAAACGATCCACAAATACGATACGATAATCATCCCCGGAATGACCAATGATGTCATATTGAAATCTATCTTCGTAACCACTGAACGATTCCATTACCATAACGCAAGCTTCCATTTCACGATCTAATCGTCCGTCATAGCCGTTAAATCTATACATGCTACCGGACACATCAACCACCAATTTCAATCTTTTCGGTTTTAATTGGGGAACACCAATCTCTGGTTCCTTTTCTGCTCTACGTCGATAAATCGTTTTTTCACCCGTTAAACCTTCTATTAATTTGGTATCATCCAATTCACCGGACGTTTGGTGTCTACACCATTGACGTTCCTTGCTTTTAGCTTGTAAACTACCTAGGGGAAAAAAAGAAAAAAAAAAAAAGAAAAAGAAGATAGAAAATAATGATACGTATAGATCAAACAGGACATTATAAATGTTAACAACTTACCTAATATTATTCTCAATGCTTGAACTTGTTTAGAAACGGCGTCGCTATATCTATTGTAAAGTTTATGATCGTATTCGCTCATTTTGATGTCCCTTAGACGTTGCTTAAATGCACGCAAACCCATTTCACGTGCAGCTTTTTTTATATGCTCAGGAACTGAATTTTTTTCATCGTCGCTAAGCTGATGTACTGTATGACCAGCATCCAAACGATATGGACCACCTTTTCCACCTAATCCAGCCGTGTCTCTACCTACGATTTTACGGAAAAAAAAAAAAAAAAAAAGAAAAATATATAGTAAAAATATTTCTTAACGAATCGTCCAACCATTTTGATTTTTTTTTAATCAAACCTCCTGTTCCACCGGCCCAAGTATTTCCACCAACGTGAGGATCATTATTCTCATCGATCTTTCCATGTTTCGGTCCGCTCACATCTTGACCCGAATATCTTTCCTTCGTAATTTGTATTTTATCATCGTCAATCCCAATCATACTTCTCCAAGAGCCTAAAGACCTTTCTATATTCGTTAAAGACGTTTCCCATAGACGAACGCATCCAGTGACGTCAACAGTTACCAGACCATAATTCGAAGTAGTCGATGCAAATATTGGTAACTCTTTACCGTATAACCATTGTGAAAGATGAGAGATTCTGGTAGGTCTAAAAAAGAAAAAAAAAATAGAAATTTATTATTATTCATTATCAATTGCTGGAAATATTTGTAATAATAATTAAATAGCAATTAATTTTACTTGGGTATGGGAATGTATCGAACTTTGTGATTGACAGTATTAACGACTTCTAAATAACCAGAAATTCCAGTATGTTTTTTATCATTAGGAGAAACTTCTTCAGGAACTTGTTCAATGGATATCGTTCGTATCACTTGACCATCGTTTGTTATAATAGGCGTAATAAAATTATTCAATCGTATTTTCCTAGGCCAATAATATAATTCATAAGCACTGTCCAATTCAGGAAATCCAATAATGATACCAGCGTATATGTTATTAGTAATCAAAAGTCTATTAGGAGAATTTATCTTTTGTTGCAATGCTTCACTAAGTATATTTTGATGTAAATTATCTTGAGAACAATTCAATAAAATGTCTTTCCTCAGGTTAGTACTATCGGACTCTTGAATTTCTCGTAAAACGTTCGGACACGGTTGAGATTCCACAGACTTCTCGAAAATGTATTTATTCTTGAACGTATCCTGTATCAGCCATTTATTCGCAGACGCAAGCAATATCGATTCCGCGTCACAGGGTAAATTGATCGAATAGACACTCATACTATCCAGATTGATAACTTCCACCTTGTTTTTGTTAGGAACGAAAAATACAATTTGATTGTTCGAAGAAATCAGATCCGACAACATTTTCCAATTTAAATTTTGACGTCCAAGAGTGTTAGAAATTTTATCAACAGTTTGTTCCAAAATTGATGACAATTGAATTTCTTGAACAGACCCTTTATCCGTATTTATCATTAGCAGACTATTACTCTAAAAAAAAAAAAGAAGAAAAAAAAATGATTAACAAAATATAAGAATTATTGTAATTTTTTTTTCTTTTCTTTTTTTTTTTTTTTTTTTTTCCGACACATAACTTACATTTCCTTCATGTAGAAAAACATTTCCAATTTTATCAGATGCAATTGTACATAACGATGCATTATTATAACTTCGTTCTTTAATCAAACCGTGTATTTTAATCTCTTGAATTGTTTCGCTTTCTAGATTCATAGTAAACAAACTTAAAGGATTCGTAGTAAGTACGTGTACTTTATCATCTGTCCCATCTCCTTTTGTTCCCTTAGTAACTGTCAAAGACACGACTAGACCACTTTCGTTTAATGGTACAGTCCAATAACTCTGTAACTCGGTGAACCATGCAGATCTAGCTTCTACTCGATCTAACATTTGACTATTTCGAATTGGATAAGAGGGTGCTTTCAATTTAATGTATCTCTCTTGAACGGGCAGAACCTTGAAAGTGTTCAAAACGTTCCAACTACCGCAAACCTTGATATCCGGTAAAGATATTCTGAAAGGAAAAGGAAAAATAATGTTTTGTACATTTTACTGCTTTAAAAATTTATTTTATTATTTTCTAAAAATTATATAAATTTTTCTTTTCCCTTTTTTTCCTTTTTGCTATTTATATTACTAAAAAAAAGAAAAAAAGAAAAAACTTGGGTAATAAAACCGATAAACATTTTTTTATTTACACATTTCCTTGAAAATTATATAAAATAAAATACATCCTTACTCTTTCGCTAATGCTACATTATTCGGTGAAGTTCCTACGGGAATGCCGTGTTTGTGTAAAACAGTTACTAAAGTATCAAAAATTTCTGGACTGTATCGATCGAAATCAAATACATTTCTGACAACTAACGGTAAAGGTTCTTTTGGAAATTTCTGAAATAATTACAATTCGTGTAATTATTTTCAATGAAATAAAATATCATTGATTACATTAACATATATATCATTCAGGCTCACCTCTATATGTTTGACTATATTGACAACTTCTCGTGTCGAATAGGGATAGGATACTAATCCTTGATCGGCCATACCTCTCAATTCTCCAAAGGCCTTGACCAATTTCTGTATTATTTTATCATCGACATTAGGACCGTATTGCTTTAACAATTGAATTTCATTTTCCATAGTGGGATTATCAACAGAATGCGTACTAAATAGATCTCCCAAAGAACCGAAGAAATCATTGCCCAAAAATGGAAAACCAGGTCTGTTCGCTAATACTATTATTCTGAAATCTGGATGAAGTGGTATCCTTTCGTTAGAATTATCAATAATTGATTTGGTATTAGATGGAACGATTCGTCTGCCATCCGATAATATCATTTCTCCGGACTCGACCAAAGTCTAAAATCAAATGTAAATCAAATCAAATCAAATCAATTCCGACATGTATCACTCAAAGTTAAATCTCTTGAATGGGATTAAAAGGATGTTTTGTAAAAAAGAAAAAAAAAAAAAAACTTACCTTTAATATACACGTCACATGTGTCGGAGCTTTATCCGCCTCATCGATAACAAGCACATGTCCAAGTTTAACAGCTTGAACAAGTGGTGAATCCTCATAAACTACTTTACCATCTTTAACCATAGGCTGCAATGTTAAAGTTTGAACAGTAGTATCCCTATGCAATTGAATATATTCTCGGGGTCTATTCATCAATTGTAACAATCTATCGACTATTTTATTTTTACCAACGCCTTGATTACCAACTAGTAAAAGATTATGTCCGAGCATAAAGTCTTGAAGTAAACTTTCCAAAAGTGCTAAATGTTGTGGTACGTCGTAAAATAAAATATCTGGTATTTTGCTTAATAACTTCGTACTGTATCTATCGACAATCGTTTTACCAATTTTCACAGTTTTATCTGTAACTTCGTAATCGATCTTCCGTTCGGTCTTATCTTCTTTAGGAATTATATTCAATCGATTCAAACAATCATCGAGTGCTTGTTTAGTCACAGATGGTAAGAAACGTGCCAGGCAAGCTCGATGAACGGCCGTGTAAGCATCATCGTTATCAAATTTTTTCATTCTTTCAGCTATTCTTAATAATTGTCTTGTACTAAGTGATCCAGCGAGAGACTGTAATGTTGGATCATTCGAAGATCTTAATGTGTGCGCTAATTGAATAATATTTAAAAGAGCTTCGCTGGGTTCTCCGTACTACATATATAAAAAAAAAAATATATATATATACATGAATTATATAATGAATTAAGGAAAGAGAAAATTTAAAGGATGAAAGGTACTTACTTTCGATCGAATAATATGAATTTCTTCTTCTTTAGCCAGAGGTCTCATTTCATGAAAAAGGAACATACTCAAAAGCTCTGAATTTAACCACTGACCTATTGAACTATTAATCACTGGCTTTCCAGCAAGTGCTATCAATCTAAAGGATGGATGAATTTGATAAACCCCCGATTTATGCATTTCTTCGTCCGATTTTTTATACTCCTCTTTAATTTCGTTGTATCGATCGGATCTTATAAGTCTCGTGCCATCGTGCAATTGTAATTCACGATCGTGAATTAATCTTAAAGGAAGAAAATACTAATCAATTATGAATTGTAACTCTAACATATATATATATATATATATATATATATATATATATATATATGTGTGTGTGTATGTATGTATGTTTGTCTTTTTTAAATCATTATACCTATGTAATATGGCAAGAGTACTAGAATGTATTCTATCTATTCCATCTAACACAGCCATTTTTCCTTCAAGAGCTGCATCCACAAGAGCTGAATTTCTCCAAACAGTATCACCATTCGGTAACGTCGTTCTTTGCTGTATTAAATCCCTCGACGTCATGTCCTAATACGACAAAATAAAAAATAAATCGATCATATAACAAACGAAAACGAAGAAAATAAAATTTCTAAAATCGTGAAATCATTATTTCAAAAATACTTCAAAACTAACTTGATAAAGCATTATAGGCTCTACTTCGTAACCCATTAAATCAGCTAACTTTTGAACTGTCGTAGTTTTCCCACAACCTTTCGGACCAATTAAACACAAATCCGAGGCCAAATGCGATTCCATTAAGCTGGCCAATAAATTATTTTGATACTTCGTCTCTATATAATTATCTCCCATTGATTTATTTAATTCTATCGATCCAGAAAGCACCTGTATATAATTGAAAAGAAAAAAAAAAAAAGAAAAGAAAAGAAAGAAAAAGAATTCAATTATCAGTTTTCAACAAAATATAAAATTCACACAAAAAAATATTCTTTTTCTTTTTCCTTACTTGCAACGTCCTGTTTACGTCATCTCTTCTAATAAAAACATTTAACAAATTCTCTCCAATTTTCTCAGTATCTATTTTACTTGGTTTTCTTATCAATGGATTTCTCAAAACATCGAACGTTTTAAGAATATTTTCAACAGCGTCTTGTCCTTCCTTTCCCAAAAACAATTTGTACGGATAAAACCTATAAAATATATCAAATACCGAGAGATCCGGACAATTATCCTACGGCAATAATCCAAAATAAATAATTGAAGAAAAAATTAAAAAATGTTGCATAATTGAAAATCAATCAAACGAATTTTGATATTTATACCAGAATTTTCGCAGCTAGCGGAAGATTATCCAAAGGAAAATCAGGAAGATTCAAACTCATAGCTTCCTGAGTTACCAAGGCATGAGCACAGGATAATAATTTTGATAAACGTTCTGGATCAATGTTGTCCGATGTTATTTTTTTCATCATATTAATCTGTTCCTGAAAAAGTGCCAAAAAGAAAAAAAAAATATATATATATAAATACAATAATATTAGAGAACTATCTAAATTTTAATGGATGCGGAATCACTTTGGAAGAAAAATCATTTTTTGCAATTCACTCGAAGATTATAATTATTTTCAAAAATTGATTTATTTGAACAACTTCTATTATCGATTAAATTTGCAAGTTGATAAAAACGAAATATGAATAATAATTCTCAAGTAAACCTTTATTAAATCGTCTTCGAATTGTTCATTTCGATAAATCAAACTCTCCTATAATGAACATCATTTGAACTATTCTCATATTTTAATATGAGAAGATTTCTGTATTGAAAATCTTTGCAATAATAAAAAGATTTTATAAATAAAAATAGCACCTACATTTATTCGATCAATATACTTAAATATTAATTGATAAGTATTCTTAAATAAACGATCAATATTTGTAATAAAATCAAACGCAATTTTGACACTTAATTATTTATAGTAAATACTTACTATATATATATATATATATATATATATATATATATTTATTTATTTATTATACCATAGATATTTGTATATACCGATCATTTATATTAAAAAATACTTATCATTAATTAATAAAAAAAAAAATAAAAAAATAAAAAAATATTGATAGAATAAACATAAATGAATAAAAATTGTTAATAATAAGCTCAGTCAGTATGTTTATCGGATAAATGATCAATGAAAGATTTTGATATAAAAAAAAAATATATATGTATATATATATATATACATGCATATATATACATATACATATATATATATATTTAATTCAGATAATATTATTTTCACGAGAATTCGTGAACCAGTGATTTAACGAGTAAGGAATGTTACCATTGCGATCGATTCGATACATAAAAGCTCTTGGAGTGATTAACGCCAAGTGGTTCCTCCTAACCGAGGCAACTACGCGAGTAACTACCACTCGACACGAAATCCCCTAAAGGATTTACCTCAAGGATTTTCATGGAAAACTTTCCAATGGAATGATACCTTATCCAAAGTCGATCTCTTCCAATGCGATAATGAGTGCCGTATACATATATTCAATCCTCTGTTAGAAATTCGACGGAACTATATCCATTAAAATGGTTGAATTCATTCGTTACTTATCTATTATTTTTCGATTCCACAATTCACACGAGATACTCTCTAATACTCGATAAATCAATTTCGTGATGGCAATTTTACGTGAAAAAATGTAATTTTTTCTGAAAGACAATTTCAAATATACAAGATAAAACTCTCTTTCTCTTTATATATATATGTCTATGTATATATGTATGTGTATATATAATATAATATAATATAATATATATATATACATCTATTATATCTATCATATTATAACTATTCTATCTATCATATATATATATATATACATATACGAATGTCATTTTAAAAAAAGTTTGACAAAGTATCGTAAGGAACTTTAATAATCTTAGTTTCATCAATGAGAGAGGACACGCGACATCAAATTAAAAAGTATCATCAGTTTATATGTGTCTTTTCGTTGAGGAAAAAAAAGGGAAAAAGAAAAGGAAAGGGTAAACGATTATAATAATAATTGCATTGATTAATCGTAATATATAAAACCTGAATTCGTACGAATTAATTACAAGTGCAAGAAATAAAAAGAAAGAAAGTTAATTTTCTCTAACTTTCATCATTCTTATCCATTATTATCCTTAGTAATTCTCTTTTAATACACGTGAACTGAACTATATTTATTCTATTTCTATTCTTAATGATTCAAAATTATACGTGTGATTCACGATATACACATGAGAAACAAAGTATTGTTATTTATGAATATTTTTAAAACGTTCGATCGGTATTTATAATGAAATATAAATACGTAATATAATTGATGCGAATTAAGAGACTTAATTATTTATATAAAATAGAAAATATTCATATTCGTATGATCATATTTATTTTACAAAATATTCGTCATTAATTAATAAAATATATTGGATCGAATAAATATAAATCAAAGACAGATAATGTCGATCGTATAGAAAGAATTAAATTCCTTTCTAATTTTCATCGATAAATTAGATTATTTTTTTTTTCTTTTAAATTTTAAAAAATCGTTAAGTCTGAGAAAAAAATGCCATAGAGTTAACGATAAATTTCGTCAAAATTATTTCTTGAAAAGAGAGAACATAAAAAAAAAAAAAAAGAAAATAGAAAATAGAATGAGAGACAGTGAAACTAAAGCGAATTACAGAAGAAAGTATGTCAACTTAGTTATAACGTTTAGGAAATAATTTCGTGCGAACGTTAGAACGTTAGACGGTTAACTCTTCGTGTCTGTGTGGTATTTGGAAAAGTAACATAACTGACACGACAATGCGTGACAAAATGCCTTTGTGTCATAGCGGAAACAATCTAAATACTTTATTCTAATTATTTCGAAGTTTTAAGCACTTTTACTCTTGCATTACCGTCCCGTTATGATCTATTCCTACGATTTACACGTATTCTTTTTAAAACCGAGTGAAAAATGATCATAAAAAAAAAAAGAAAAGAAAACAAAAAAAAGAGAACTCGGCGATATCTCATTTAGGTACTATACATACGGGGTATAAATAGTAATAATTTTTTTTCTTTTTTTCTTTTTTTTTTTTTCTTTTTTTCTTTTTTTTTCCTAATAAGAAACAATAAAGAATCTTGACATAGAAATTTTTTTGTCTAAAGGGAAACATCGAATACATTTGATTTTTTATAATAACATAGATAAATATTTTATGGAAAAACTTGTTTATAGTTATCTTTCAGTATTCATATATATATATATATATATGTGTGTGTGTGTGTGTGTGTGTGTGTGTGTGTGTATATATATCACTATGATTAGAATATTTAGAAAATATTTGAAATGACAAAATTGTTATTATCATAAAGTTTGGAAGCAAAATTAATTTTTTCTCTCTTTCTTATATGTTAATATATCACGTGCAAGAAGACGGATAAGAACAAATTTATATTTCTCCTTAAATGGATAATTTTATTCGAATATTAATCGCAAATGAGTGATTCCTGAGAAGATGCATTTCTTTTCTCGTTGCAATTAAGTTTAGGCATGAAGATATGCAGCTGTGGTCGGCCAACGGGGGACAAAGAATTAGTGAAACTTCTTTTTTTTTCTTCTTCTTTTTCTTTTACTTTCGCCATCTTCGATGGATCTTCTTCTTCTTCCTTCTCCTTCTTCTCCTCCTCCTCTATCGTAGATTTTTTTTCTTCGATTTCTATTAAATCCTTCCTCTTAGCGCGTTCATCAATTTCAAATAATTTTCTTCTGGTCATCCTTCGTTCGCTTCTTTCGAAACATTCCGGTTTTCGTTCTCTTTCTAATTTATAATTTTTTATTGCCATCTTTCTCTTCATCATAGAAATTTCATTCTTGCTCGAAGTAAACTTCCTCGAATCTCGATTTTCCATTATATTTAAACGTTCATTCACTTCCTCTACGTCTTTCACGTAATTCTGAACTTTCCCTGATAAATCCAACCATTGAAGTACTCTCTCCGACAAAAGATTCGAACGTATCTCTGGTAATTCGAATTTATCAACGTTCGATCTCGACGAATCGTTCGACGAATTCCACAATTCGTCGATACTTTTAATTTCTATCGTAAAATTTTCGACACATTGATTTTCGAACAATTCTCCTTTGATATCCTTCGTAATTGGAAATGATTTTAACAATCTTCCAGAATCATTTGATAATAATCTATCACATGTAGGTGCCGATTGTCTACGAATCATTTTAGAAGATATCCGATCATCTTTATCTATCATCAAGTGTTCACAGTTTAGGAAACAATTGTTCAAACGATCGAATCCTCGTGATTTCAATTGCTGATAATCCGATTGATAATCGTTACCTTTCGATGTATGCAGTCGTCGGCGTATCTTCGTGTTGATCAATGGATCGTCCGGTGATAGAACAGCATGACGAATACCATCCACCCAAATAGTTCGTACCGATAATGGTCTTTCTGACGATGACCATATAGCAGGCATTATTTTCTTTCCTTTCTTTTTTTTAATTGACCCAACTTTTTAGATCCTTTGATTTCTTCACTTTATTCAACGCAATCTTTTTGACCAAGAACACGTGTACTTTCATATCACAAATTTACATAGTATTCATTTATTTAATTTTTATTTATTATCAGATATGTATAATCGTCGAAATAAAAATTAAAAAATTCTCTTTGATCTTTGATGAAACGAAAGAAACAACCCTTCTGCCGAATTCCGACGCGTATCGACTTTGGTAGAGAAAGGACAAGTAAGGTTTCTAACGTTTAGGACACGCGATCCCAATGTCTGTGACCGTCGCGCAGTCACGGTCTTCGTTTATATAGGAAGGAAACGAGTATCGGAAGGGATGGATGGTGGGGTTTGTACAACCACCCCAACAACCCCCATTCCGAAGATACGCTATTTCCATCATTCGTAACGTGGTTTACGTTTTATGCTACGATAGGTCACATTTTATATAATTTTTCTTTTTTATTACTTATGTCCTACAATTCCTATTAATTTAAGGGATATTATACGTTATGAACTTTTACGGTATGAACATGTCAAATTTAACAATTCTATTATGTGAGAACATATGATATAATCAATTTGTTTATTGTCTAATTTAAAATTATTATATTATTATTGTCATTATTATTATTATTATTATTATTATTATTATTATTATTATTATTATTATTATTATTATTATTATTATTATTATTATTATTATTTAATTATAGGTATTTATAAATTTTATTATATTAACTTACTTCAAAGGTAGAAAATGGAATATATCGTGCTTGAAATCTAGATCTTAGAGGTGGATCCAATGGATGACCAGGATAACGTGGTGATGGTAGTCCCAAAGCGATTACTCTAAAGTCCTCGCTGACTCTAACCAATTGCCATGCATCTAATTCTGCTTGACTATGTTGCTATCAAAAAAAAAAAAAAGAACAATTGGAATGACATATAATAATTATATAAAATATTAAATTACACGCAAATATTGTCATTTTTAAATAAATATGTTTGTAAAATATACCTCTAATAATTTATCATAACGCTCAGCTGGAATAAGGAACCTGCCGTCTTCCAAATGCATTTCTCTATTTTCTAATAGATTATTTAAAATAGGCAAAACATTTCGTTCTGCTTTCTCTACGCCTTCTATCAAAAGAACTCTACCGTTAATAGCAGCTCTTACTGCACTTTGATCATGATAATAAGCAGTTCCACTTTTAATCTCTCTTCTCTGTTTCAAATCAGCCTCCGTTGTATCTCTTGATAAAGCAATGAATTCTAATTCTCGATTTGTTAATTCTAAAAAGGCCAAAGCTAATTCTCGTCTTCTGGAACCTGGACTTCCTGTTAGAAAAATATCTTGACATAAGATATCCTTTTGTAGCATCCATTTTAAATGCCTCAATGATTCTTGTCCAGTTACATTTAATACTGTAAAAGAGAGAGAAAGAAAAGGAAAGGATTTCAATATATATTTTAAATTAACAATAAAATTTCTTTTCTATGACAGATATATCAGATACTCACAATATTTTCTAGGAATGTATTCTGGAGTTTTCGCTGTTTTGACACGCTTCGATACGTCAGCAATAGTCACAAATGTATCGTCTAATTAAAAATTCAAACGTGTTAAATAATTGTTAATATTCGTTTTTCTTTTATTTCTTGTTTTTAAATGATTTTTTTACGAATCCAAAGACAAACCTAAACTTACCTGATTTGCAACGAATTAACATAGTTGATAGGTTAGGATAAAATATTCTTGATCGTTCCAAAACTTTATACGTTATTGATAAACGTTTACATTTCAAAGAATTAAATATCATTTTGACTAAATGACGGACTATTTCTTTTTTAACTGTAACACGTGCATTATCGTTGCACGTCGTTCTGCAAAAAATACTTTGGACTTGAACTTGTAATAATTTGAATAAAAAATAGCGGGAGAATTTGAAATATATATATATATATATATATACGTACAATATTTTTTCAATGCCTTTGAATGTGGAATCATTTTTTAATTTATTACGATAAGAATATATTATATATTTGTGATAACGAAATTGTCATTCGTCATTGTACCTCCTTTATCATATACTTCTAAACTGCTAAACTAAACTCAGTTTTGTCTGATGAAACTAAACAATATAATGACAAAAGGTTTTTATATGTATGTATATATGTATATATTTATATATGTATATATGTATATATCTATGTATATAACTGTTACATAATGATTTTGTAATTTTAGATTAGCTATTATTCTTATACATAGTCAAATGTCATATATATTACTATATTTATTTAATTCCATATATATATATATATATATATATAAATTATTTTATTCAATATGTATATATAAATTATTATATAATTAAAATATAAATATAAAATAAATATCTATACAAATGATTTTACATTATTTGAAATCGTGCATATTAAAATATTTTCCTTCTAATAGATATCTCTTATGAAATGTAATGATCAAAGTTCATTTGGTGATATATCAAATAAGGGGATAATATAAAAAAGTAAATGCACAATGTCAAAAGTTTTAAGCATCTATTTCTTATTATCACATCGAAGAACATTACAATCTTTCTGAAAGGTACACATTGATTTTATCAATTTTATCAGCATAGTTCGTATCAACAACATCAGGTTGTAAAATATTAATTGATAAAAAAAAAAGAAAAAAAAAATAAAAATAATATTTATAATAAGATATAATTTAAATGTACCAGTATGCAATAATAAATAATTTTATTACATTTTTAGGAAATCTTTGAAACGAAACTACATTATTCATACAACAAAACAAAAAATAACATTTTACCAAAAATATCATCTACTTAAATATCGAAACAAAAAAAAAATAAAAAAAAATAAAAAGCCATAAGCAAGTATTGTAAGAAATAACTACTGTTATTAATAAAAGCGTCTTTGCAAAATCAATCTATCCTTTTACCTTTTATTGAAGGTAACGTAATTAAGGTAAATGAATTAATACAAAATAATATCATAGTCAGCTATTCTGAAAATATAATATCAATGATAAGAGTATTTACTGTATATATAAAATCAATTACTAATTATTAATTAGTAATTAACTTAATTAAGTTAATCGATTTAATTATGTAAATATATATATATATGTAAACTCCCATATGTTATTCAAGTTATAAAATACTGCTTTGAAAAATTTAACTCTACTGCTAAAAATTATAAGCGCAATTAAGTGAAAAGTTTAATTAAAGATGACAAATTTTATACACATAAAAAATATATAATATATTTTTTTGTTTCTTTGCGCTCTTTATAACTTTTATTCTTTTTTTTTTTTTCTTTTTTTTTTCCTTTAATAATTTGGCGTCAAATAAAATAACGTTATGCAAACAAACAAACAAAATGAATTAGAATAAAAACAATTTATATGCTCCATTCGATAATAGATATGAAGATGTAAAGAAAGTAAATAAATTTATTATACTTGTGAAATAATTATCTTAAATTATTAAATATGCAATAATTTAATAAAAAATAAAATATATATTTTTTATATTATTTCCTTTATAGCAAAGAACACATTTAAATGTATTACTATCAAGCCAATGATAAAACGATATATACAGTAGTTACATTACACGTCATACTAAACTTTTTCACTCCATTACTTTATCTGGCAATAATAATTCCTATAATACTGAAAACTCGATTAATGTTATTAATTGAATTATCATTATTTAAGCAACCATTTATAAACAGTATACAACTACTTTCATAGAAATAGAGTGATGTAAATATAAGACATCATAGAGTAATATAAAAACCATTAAGAAGAACATATTTTTTTAAATAATATAAAACTGTACATGATTACAACTTTCTTTTCCATTCCTTTAAAGTAAAACAATGTCTCTCTTTAAAAATTTCTCTGAAATAATAAATATTAAATTGAATTTCTCTTTCTCTTTCGTAAATTATATGATAATTAATAGCGCAAAATAAAAATTACCTCTACAAAGTCATCTGCTCTTCTAGCATTTGCAGGATAATAATCGACTATTAATGGACGAGGTCTTTGTCCAATTCCTGAAGGTTGTTGCAATCCACATGCTTGCTCCTCATTAGTCAGAACTGTAACTAATGTACTAACAACTTTTTCATCTAATTGTGACATAGGTTTTCCTGGTGCTTTCATACGTCGTAAAAATAGGGCGTTCCATTTTTGTCGTAAATTTAAAAACAATTGTACAGTTTCAAGATCAAGTTTAAATACAATCCAATCGTCCAACTTAAAAATAGTACCCTCATGATTTTCATCCACTTCGGAATCAGATTCGCTTTCGGGTATTGCTGAAAAGTGTATATAAGCTTGGTAAAAAAAAAGAAAAAAAAAATGTAACTATATAATTCTATCTAACTATATAATTATCATATAAAGTTATATACCACCAGCTTCATAAATAGTATCCATAGGTAATCTTGCTGGACCACTGAAAAGTGCTACGGTCAAGGGATTAACGAGCGTAACGATTTTAACATGACAAAACCGACCAGTACGACTCATCTCTTCATAGAGTAACCAATCGGACGGTAATGATTCTACATTAGCTGCATGAGTTTGAGCATAAGTCATTCTAGGAGATTTTGGAAAATCTCTTAACGTCGATGATGGATGGAAAAAGACCTTCACTTCTTTTCTAAAAAAAAAAAGTGAAGATACAAATTGGAACATTAATAAAATTACTACGTCATTACATTGACTTTTTTTTTTTTTTTTTTTTTTTTTTTTTTTTTTGATATAAATAAAACCAAATGGAAATATACATACTGCGTTCTTAGTTGCATATGATCTCGATCGACTCTGATTATATTTGGATATAAACCAGCTGTTAAAGCTGCTTTAACGACCGCCCAATTTTCAGAATTGGTATTTAAATCTCTAATGTCACCAGCACCTCTCGCTCTAACAAATCCAGATGCACGAAGTTGACCAAGAAGTTGAGTTCGCATTCCAACTACCATTTCCATAACAGGCGCTGAAATGAAATTTTTTTCACAGAAACTACGTTCCTTCCCGCTAGCTCTTGCATTTTGCCAACCCTGAAATGCTCGCAATACAGCCATATGATCTGAAAATGTCCCGGTAGCAAATTTTTTTCGTGCAGCAGCTACAGCCCTTTTTTGTGATGGTTGAGCTGGCAGAATAAATGGATCTCTACAAGTCATTTAATAATATTAATAAATATTATTATTGAATAATTAATAAATAATTTTTAACATTATACGTACTTATATGCCAAGCTGCAAACGATCGTTAAAATTGGATCGAGACATTTCAAAACTACTGCATATAACAACATTTTCCCTAATCTTGGTTCAATCGGTATATCTAATAAATGACTTCCTAATTCGGTAAGATCTTCCCATGGGTCCAATGCATCAATTGTCTTCAATAATTGAACGGCATTTCTAGTTACTATATTGGAGGGTGGCTCTAAAGCTCTGTCTAAAAATTCTGCGATTGGTGTATTTCCTGGTGCCAAATGTTTTGTAAAAAGACATAACTCTTGCAAGGGTAATCGTAAGATTTCAGGTGTTTGATGTAATTGCATACTGCTAAAACGAATTGATGAGAATAAACGATAACAGAATCCTTTTCCACATCTGCCAGCTCTTCCTTTTCGTTGCTTTGCACATGCTTGTGATATCCAATTTGAACGAAGCGTACATACACCGGATATCGCGTCGAATGATTTTTCTTTTATTTTTCCTGAATCAATCACGTAAACAACATCATCGATCGTAATACTTGTTTCTGCAATATTTGTAGAAAGAATAATCTTTCTAGTTCCCTGCATACTAGGCTTGAATACTTTTTTCTGATCACATATTTGCATATTTGAATGAAGTACAAATAAATTGTAACGAAGGCCTTGATTCATTTTCTTTTCTTCGCCGTTTATTCTTTCTCTCATAGTTACTATATCATCATAACCAGGTAAAAATATTAATAATGAACCTGGTGGCATTTTTAAATGGATATATATAACGAGATGTAAAAGAAGATCATGATCAATATTTTCATCATTGAATGTATGATGATATACATCTAATAACATTTTATCTTCTTCAGAAATAGAAACGTTGTCACCTTGTACTATTTCACAATCTTGCACTGTACAATCATACGTTTTCATATATGCCTCAATCAATTCTGCACATTCGATTTGTTTCATATTTTTTGCCCAATCTAATGCAGTCCACTCGTTACCAGCTCGAAGATTCAAATTTGCTCCAAGATTTAAAAGTTGTTCGGTAGTATTTATGCATCCTCTACCTGCAGCAACCATCAATGGTGTAACTAATGTCTTAGAATGCTGATAATCTACTGAAACATTTTCGGAAAGTATAAAATGCAATAATTGTGCAAAATTATCTTCTCCACCACATAACCATGCGTCCGATATACTTTTGTCTACTTCCTCTATCAACCACGGTTCAAGTTTAACTTTCTCTGGTATGGGCTCATTTTGTTGTGCTAATATCGGTGCTGGCAACAAACATCTTTCATTCAATGGGCCTTTACCAGATATTTGTGGCTTGTACTGAGTCCAAGATTCTAAGACCTTGCACTGTTCCTTTTTATTTAAAAATTCTTTCTTTCTCCTAATCATTTCTTTAGTCATATAGCCGGTCATTTTCAAAACATCCTCAAGGAAATATGTTTCAACTTCATACAATCTACCAGGAATATTGATAACAACACACTTATCAAAGTACTTTGCAAAAATAGTAGTATCTAATGTTGCACTCATTAACACAATTTTCAATGATCTATATTTATTCATTGCATCTTTTAATGCTATCAAAAGGAAGTCACAAAATCTATCACGTTCGTGAACTTCATCCACTATTATGTGTGTTACTGTAGTCAAGGCAGAATCTCCACCCATAAGAGTCCTAAGAAGAACCCCATTAGTACAATATGTCAAAAGAGTTTTAGGCGCAACTCTACTTTCAAGTCTAATTTGATAACCAAATGTTTGTCCAATTTTTTCGTCCCTTTCAAATGCTACTCTTTCTGCAACGGATACTGCAGAAAGTCTCCTTGGTTGAGTACATATAATTCTACAAATTTGATGTCTTTGCTGGCAATGCTCTAATATATATTGAGGTACTTGTGTGGTTTTACCACTTCCTGTTTCCCCAGCTATTATGACTACTTGATTGGTAGCCAAAGCATTTAAAATGTCTTCTCGTGCATTAAAAATTGGAAGTGATTTACGAAAATTCAATACATCAAAATTTGTCTTTAATTGTGGTACTTGTGGGATGCTACTGTTCAAGCGACCCATAGCCTTTGTATTTGTAATAACTAAAAACAATAAAGACAATATTTTTAATAAGATCTGTACGATATTTTTCCTCATCTTAAATATACATAAATATTAATAAAATAATTTTTTTTTTATCTTCTCTTTCTTACCATCTGCATTAAGAGGCCGTTCTCTTTCCATTGGAGGTAATAAATCTTGACATTCTTTATGATTCAATGGGAAATTATTTAATAAAGCATAAATACTTTGTTTCGATGACTTTTGCAGCTTGATTACAGCATCAGCTTGAACTATGGTAGATCCTTCTCTCTTGTATACCGTTAAAAATCGGTTTTTGCCTTTACTGTTAATTAAATATGTATATATATACATATGTGTATGTGTGTGCATATATTTGTTCCATCTTTGCAATTTAAACACAATCTATTATTTTATCATTGTGTTTAAATTATATACAATAACATATAGTATTAATATTGTATGTTAATAAAACATACAACTTTATTTAACTCATACCCTCTACTTTTGGATTTTAAGCCAAGATCCTTAACAAGTTCATGGATATAAGCTCGTTCTATTGCTGTATAAGAAGATGGAAATTCTAATTCTTTTTGATCCGGTGTTTCCAATAATTTCTTCAAAGTTAAGTTTACTGCTATTCTAGTGTCTTCTCCTATCAGTGGATGTTTTCGTTGTTTGTGGCGAGGCATGATTAATATTGAAAATTCACTAAAGAAGAAAAGCAATGTTTCTCAATAATTTTATATGACAATTATAAATAATACAATTTAATAATTATAACGATTATAACGATAAATATATCAGTAGGACAGCATTACATTGGTTTTTATTAGAAAATTCATCGTAGAAGTGAGTATTATCAATTTCAGATATATATATATATATACATATATATATATTTAGAAAAACATAAGAATATAACCAATTTAATGCTGTACAAACTCACCGTATTAAAAAACACACATATATATGTATATATATATATATATTTATATTTATGGAAATATTATTAAGCATGTAATAATTATTTGAGAGAATTTATTTTAAACATTAGAAATAGCACTGCTGACATAGAGTGCTACTATGAACGAGCGGCAAAAGCAATTTTCAGGAACGTATATATCAGATTGAAAATAAAGGTTCTTATTGCATCCCATTTTTATATCTAATAATAAGTGATCTTATATAACATTACAAATTTTTAAAAATTTTCTAGCAATGTAATCAATCTTTTTACATTCGAATAAATCGATTGATTAGCCATCATCTAACAAAAAATAGTACGAATTAATTGTCATTTTTGATGACCTATTTGAAAATCATTTGTAGATACGATCCTGCTAATCTTTTCTGATTTCGCCATTTTGTATTGTGAATATTTAAGCGCTAATTTAAAATTGATAACGAATGAACTTTTTTTCAGAAATTAATTCGCGCAAACAATAGCTATAAATATTTTAACGGCATCATTAATTCATTATCTCGAGTATTTAAAAGTATAATGAAAAGACTTGATATACATTTATCATATACATTGTCTTTCTCTTTTTCGTAATTTTGCCTATAAAAAATCTTTCCACATTTACTCATTCATTACATTTTGATTTTACATATGGTGTAAAATACAAAGAAAAAAAAAACAAAAAAAAATCGATATCCATTTCAACGTAATATGCGACATAGATAATATCCTAGTAACACAATGGTATACATATTTTATTATTTAATCAACTTTCGATCGAAGACATGTTCGTTTGTTAAAATGACTCATCACACGAGTGTTTACATAAGATATTTAAAGGAAAAAAAGATCAATGGAAAATAACATTGAAAAATTTGTGTCAATATTTATTTTACGATATTAATGATTATAATAAATACCTATAAGGATAACACAATACGTTTATTATTCTTTCGATAAACGTTGATTAAAACTAATTAAACTCCGTCTGATAATAATTGAAATAAACTATCGAAAGATTATATTTTTCTTTTCCATCATCTTTCCCAATTAACTGGCACTTTCATTACTGTTGATTTACCATTTCATATAAGCACAAAGGTCGATAATATAAGATATATTTGTCATAGCGACAATTTGTTTTTGGGTCATCTCAATAAGACGAAGTTTGACTAATGGATACTAGCTTTTAGGTTTGAGATCTGACAGGCAGCGCCATCATTGTTGCTAAGCGAATTACAAAATTTTTAAATGCATACGATCTATATATTTTATTGAAATGAATTAAATGAAAGTAAAGATCAAGATTTGGGCCAAAGGTTATACGAAATATAAGGCAGCTTTCTTTTTTCTCTTTTTACAAACCGTATGAAATAAATTTTATCGTCTCTCTCTCTCTCACTTTTTTTTTTTTTTTTTTTTTTTTTTTTTAATTGCGTATAAACCTTGACGATCTCAGAAAATGAAAACAGTTACGACCTCTGCACGTACTCATTTATAACGTCGTACTCCTCCGTGCACGTTCTCTCAGCAGTGTTTCCTACTCTAATCTTTTCTACGAATTAATAATAATCAAATTGTTTTTCTCGATAAATATAAATTAACAATCTGAAAATGTCTTTAGACGAGGTAATTAATATCTTATAGTAACTATATAATATATTTGCAATTGTATATTGTTTTATTATCAATGTTCTATGTATTTTTCCGATTATTGTTGTCGTTATAGCGGTTTAGTGAGTTGTGTGTTGTGTGTGTGTGTGTATGCTTAACTATTAACAATTTGACATATATCTATTCTCTAATAGTTTATGATTCATGATTGAACTAGTTAGATAAATCAAATCTGATAATACATTTTTTTTATTACTTTCATTCATTAAAACGTTTTTATATCTTTTATTATATCTCATATTCTTTAGAAATATTATGGTTTTATGTATTATTTATATCTTTCATATGTCATTCAATACTTACGTGCGTACAATAAAAAAAATTTATTAAATAATATTCTTTTCAATTTTATTTAATAGCATAACTTCAATCTGAATGAATACATATATATATATATATATATATATATATATATATATATATATTATAAAATTTTTTTATCTTGGTACAATTTTATCGTTTATCTTAAATGTACAGAAATATCTTATCCAGATTATATATTTTCTTGAGTTATTTTATATTGAACCAATTATAATTTATGACTAATTATATTGAAATATAAATATTTTATTCAATTATATTGCAGAAAAAAAAAGAATTGATTTTTTTTTTTTTTTTTTTTTTTTTTTTTTTTTTTTTTTTTTAGAATTTGATATCTTAAATAATCATTTGACCATTAACATTTTTATTTCTGTATTCTCTTATAGAATTGATATCTAAAATATTGAATTATTATTATTATTTCAGAGATTTCTCAAGGCCAGCGAGGAAGTAAAAGAACTTTCTTTTAAGCCTTCAACTACATGTTTACTTGAACTGTATTCATTGTATAAACAAGCCACAGTCGGTGACTGTAATACTGGTAAATATATATATATATATATATTTTTTTTTGTTAATACTACAGAATATGACTCATTTTTTTGTATTAAAATGACGAATAATGATAAGAATAATTGTATTTTGTTTATTTTCTTCTTATCTTTTTTCTTTTTTTTTCTTTCTCGCTCCTAGGAAAACCAAACATTCTCGAATTTGAAAAAAAAGCTAAATGGGAAGCATGGAACAAACAGAAAGGTTTAAGTCAGGATGAGGCAAAAGAAAAATATATTATTAAAGCGAATGATTTAATAAAACAAAGTGAAAAGAATGAATAATAAATGAGTCTGGCCGGATTGCCCTCTAAACGAGGACATACGCTAGTGGCTCATGCTGCTAACTAACGATTGCCTAATTTTTAGTTTTGGTGAATTTATGGTTTCGGGAATAAAAAAAAATCTATCGCGTTTAAACGATATATATATATTTGAAATATATATATATATTGTTAATGTTTCTAAATGTTTATATATATATACATATATGTATATATTTCTTTTTCACTATTGATAAAAAAAATCTTACACAAGTTTTACGTAAAAATAATTAATATAAAACTCTTGCACAATTTTTTATGTATCCTATTTAAAACATAACACGTATGCTATTGTGTATGATTCTTTGCATATTTTATACATCATATTGCAAAAGTGTTCAAAAAATTTTACGTTCTTTATAAGAATATATATATATATA